CTACATTTATACGGCTCCTGTATCATGCATCTAACTCTGTCTTATCACTTACATGTGTTTTCCTTATTCCTTTCCCCTCCACTGCACCCCTCACCACCACCACCCACCACCATGACAAACATTAGATTTTAAACTCCTTGAAGGCAAGGGATATTTCTTCCTTATTTCCAGGGATGAGAATCACTGAAGGATGAATCTCTAATGATCACTTTTTAAAATATCAACTACAGAGGAATGGAAGGAAAAAAAGGGAGGGTAGTTTAGCTAATGGAGGCTTCCTATGATAAAGGCAGAAGCATTGACTTGGAGAATTTGATTATATTTAAAAGTACTTCTCCACTATAAGGCTGATTGAAATCTAAGTAAACTGTCAAGAGAGATTGTAGAAGTCTGTCACTTGAAAAGCAGGGTAGGACCAGCTGGTGGCCTGGTGGTTAAGGCACTGGATCCTACATGGCCAATCATGTGACTTGAGTCCCAGACCTGATGGCTTGAAAAATAAGTTGAGTGTATGCACACATGCCCAAATTCCCAAAAGGAGAAAGAAACAGGAAAAGAAATTGTGTCCTGACCATACCTCCTGGGGAGTGCTTTCTCTTTCTTTTTCTCTCTCCCTCCAGCAACCACTTGTATCTTCTAGCAATCTAAAGGCAGAGGAAAAGGCAGGTTAATCAGCTACCCATTTTGAATGTCTGGGCATTTATGTTTTCATTTGCTTGTTCAAATGAATTCAACTTTTATAGTTCTAGGATCATAGAAGACACTAGAGACATCATCACAGAAAAGTGTTAGATAAAGCATAAAAGGCAACCACAAGTATTCAGGCTTTTAGATTTAACTGATGTAGCTACATGAGAAAATTAATTTGATAACTTTTTTCTAATGTGAAATTATGTTATTTTTACAATGTTAAACATGCCTTTGTTTTCCATATTAATATGATTAGTGTGGGAAAGTGGATGTATGTGAAATTGAAAACCCCAAATTATCATAAAATTTCAAAAGCTTAAACCACCCACTTTGTAGATGAAAAATTTAGCATGAGCAGCATTTAATGATTTGGTACCATGGCAGTCAAGTTTTGTAATCCTTGGTCCCTTGTACATAATTACATGAGAATGGTTATCCTTTGGATGATACATATAGACCAGAGACAATAGGGGTGTTACATAGGCAGTAATAAATGCTGTGATGAACTTAAAGCAGGAAAAGAAGATAGAGAAGGACAAAGTACTATATGAGGTTGTTAAATCAAATGGTCAGAGAAGCCTCTCTGAAGTTTTGATCTGAGACATGAATGAAGAATAAAAGTCAGGAATATCTAGGGGAAGGACATTCTAGAAAAAAGGACTAGAAAGTACAAGGCTTTGAGATGAGAAAGACTAGTTTCAAACTAGCAAGGAGGCCAGATGCCTGGAAAATCGTGAATAGTATGAAATGAGATGGAAGAGGCCGCCACGGGCACATGGAGGGCTTTGTGAGATTTCAAGCTTTATACTGAGAGTCATGGGAGGCCTTTGGAGACTTGAGAATAGAGAAGAAACATGAACTAGTTGGGTTTTAAGAGGAGTCCTCTGGCTGCTGCATGGAGAATAGTCTGTGGAGGCTAGAGATCAAGTGGGAGGCAATTGCAGTAATCCAGGCTAACAGTGGTGGCTGCTCAGACCAGGGTGGTAGTAATGAGCAAGGAGACGTGGGATCTCAGAACTTCTTAGAACAAGGATGTAGGTTATTCATTATTCACCTCAGGGCTTACTATAGGACCTAATACTTAGTTAATTGTGTGGATAAAATGCAGATTTTTTTTTTTTTTCTGTTCCCATATGCTCTGGTATCATTGGGAGATTTTGTAAGAAGTCTTCACAGTGGTATAATTTTAGCCACTATCATACTTCTTAGCGTGGCCCACCCTGCTTCCTTTATTTATGGGTTTTGTCCAAACCAACTAGTATTTAATGAGAAAGGCTAAAATTATCCTAGAGAAGACAGTGGCTTAGAAAACCAAAAAGAAACATTTCACACTTCACAAACCCAAGTTACAAAGTAAAAAGTCCTTACATTTAAGTAATCCTTTTACATTACTTCATACATTCATATATTCTTAACTGCTCTGTGAAGAAGTTATTAATGCTTTCCTCATTTTATGAACTGAGACTCAGAAGTTTAGTATGTTTATAATTATGTAGTCAGTACATGGTACATCCCCCCAAACCAGATACTACACCTCTAGGTTTTTTACTCTTTTATCATGCTTATTCATTTATTTTCCACATAATCATCTATGAAAATATCAGCCTTCTGCATGCTGATAGATAATATCGATGCTGATGCTGACACAGATAAGACCCCAGCGCTGACCTTGGGGGAACTTGGAGTCTAATGGAGGAAGCTGGCAAGAAAATCAAAGGTTTTAATAATATGTGATAAATGTTAGAGTAGAATTAAGCACAGGGCGTATTTTGGTTTTCTATATATAATTACTCAAATATAAGGTAAAATAAATATATATTCTAGTAGCTGAGTGTACATTCTGTGTTTTCCTATTTTGGAAAGTAGACTTGAATTAAAACTGCCTGGCAATGTAATAAATTATTTATTAAGGATAGACATAAAAATGTAAACTCTGTCTTCTGACATCTATGAGATGTCTTACACAGTGTTGGTGTTTCAGCCTTCTAGATGTTCTTTCCTAAGATCAAAATGGTTGCATTTATTTTAGGCTAACCTAGGTCTTAATTCTGCCTTTGCAATGGGACTAGTCTTAATAGTGTATATGGTTAAAGGAAATATATATAAGAAAATAGGATTTGGTCAAAGAATGTCAAAACTGGAAAACTACCCAGTATAGTCAGATTCTTACTTTGAGATATAAGTTATGATAAACTCAGAAATAATTATAGCATCATATTGAGAGGAGAAAGAGTAGAACTACCATGGACCTCTGAATTAAAAAATAATTTACCTTTTTTATTGTGGTCTTTTCTTACTTAAGTAACTTATTTCTATTTCTTTTTGAAATATGTGTTTGAACAAGTGAGAAAGTGTACCTGTCAAAAGCCTAACCAGCTGAGAACCATTGTCAGCATTAATTTTCTTTTAATAAATGACTCTCTGAAGCTATTTAGCAGTCTGTAATCTAGATACAACGCTATTGACCTATGATGGATAGTGCTGGATTTGTTTGTAAGCTTTGACTTAAATTGTCTACTTAATTTCTCCAGATGAGATCAGCAGGATTAGGGAAAAGGGTGGTTATATGGTTTGAATAAAGATGACTATAAAAGTTGTGCAAAATAATTCTAAAACATTAATGGTTCATCATCTTGCAAAGTAAATTAGAAACTAACAAAAAAGACAATCACTTAAACAGCAGTGTTATCAAATGGTATGAATTGACTAATTGAGAACTTTTTTTTTTTTGGAGAGTTTTTTTTTGCTATAGGGCACGTGCGCTTGCCAGACAGAGAGAGAGAAAGCGAGAAATCACCCCCCAGGGAGGATGGCCACGCCGCAATCCTTTCTCTTCTATTCTCCTCTCGGGATCTTGGGCACGCACACACATGCACCTGGTGTGAGTTTTAAGCCACCGGGTCTGGGACGCGAACTGTGATCGACTACATGGGGGTCCACGTGACATAGCCATTATGCTAACTGCTGGTCCCGAGAACATTTTTATAACTGGATTTTTGGACATAGATCATTCAAAGTGTGTCTGAAGATATCATGAAATTGTGTAATTTAGCTATTCATGTGAACATCTCAGGCTTTCATAACCTATGGACACGCACTTTTCCAAGACTGCTTAACATGATGCGGACTTCTTTTGCTTTTAATACTTGATTAAGAAGAGTACGAACCATAAAATAGAAAGCTGCTTGCTTTGGCAATAGCAAAATATCCATGAGTTAACTGAAATAAAGACCTCTTCCATTGGGCTTTTTCAAAATGTACCATGTATTTTTAAACTATATTTCATCGAGTAAGTTAAATATAAAAGCAGACCATTACTTATAGTTGTCTATTCTACAGTTTCTTTATTCTTGGCTAGACTGTAAAATAAGTTGGAACGGCAAAAATTGCACTAATATAGATAGCTCTTCTACATATTTTCCTGATTCTGGACAACTAAAAACTATGAATTAAGAGTTCCCTCAATACTAAAAATAATAGTAATACTCTTGGTTTTATTTTGTGGTTAATAAAAATTTAGAAGAAGCTCCCCCCGTTCCCTTAAAGATAAGTCTTGGCTGTATTTTCTATGTTAAATTAAAAGTTGTTTTTCCAGTTATTTAAATCAATAAACATGCATTCGGCCTTGTTGAAAGCTGCTAAGGAGTTGCCAAACCAATGCTAGTTTATTTTTTCTTCTCATATCACTAGGAATGAGTTGCCCAAAAGGTATAGAACAGGGAGGAAAAGGAAAATCAAATAATACTGGAACACACACATGAGAATAGTCAGTCTATGTAAACATCAATTTTCTTCCCCTTAAAAAAAGCTTTACTATCTGGAATGCCTGCTTGGTTATGGGAGAAAAGTTCAGGTCTCTCTTGTCCTAGATCTCATCTGTAGATAATATTCAGAGAGTAAGCCAGAGGCCCCACATTCAAGCGAGGGCAGCAGATCCCCCTGGTCCTTCTTTTTCATATACTTGTATTGCAGAATAAGTTTCTTAGAAGAATAAATGCATGGGAATAATAAAATTCACATTTCATATCCCCTTGTCTGCCCTACTATGAGGGTGCCAAAATGTTGAAGTTGAATTGAGAATGAGAATACAACTGAATCTGTATGTCCCTTTTGATTTATGATTCACCTGCGTGATACTTAAATACTGAAATATCCCTGTAGAGATTTAAAGTATCTTACACATGTCTGGCATAAGCATGATTTGGAGACAAGATATTTTCATTTGGTTTGATGATTTTCTGTAATTTTACCATCTGCATTTTAAAAAATGTATCCTTTTTCTTCTATATCTTTACCCCCAAACAACTCAGGTGTTGGAGCTGCCAGGTCTGGGAATCTCACATTCATGGTGGGAGGAGTTGAAGATGAATTTGCTGCTGCCCAAGAGTTGCTGGGGTGCATGGGCTCCAATGTGGTGTACTGTGGAGCTGTCGGGACTGGGCAGGTAATATTCCACATCAGGGACCTTGACTCAGTGATGTCAGATGGGCTAATACTCCTCTTTCCTAACCACATTCTTACTCCTCTTTATTCATTTCAACCTATGGGTTCTTTGCTCAGATTTCTTAAATTAATTTGTAATGAATTAGTTTCCATTATTTCTGGGGAGCTTAAGCAATTTGTCAGCCAATTTGCTTATTTAAAAAGAATATCCAGAGACCAGCAGATGGTGTAATGGTTATGTCACTGGACTCCCACATAGTCAACCATGGTTTGAGTCCTGGACCTGGCAGCTTAAAACTTATGCCGGGCTTATGTGCTTGTGCATCCAAAATCCTGAGAAGAGAATGGAGAAGGGATTGTGGCATGGCCATCCCCCCAGAGGGGTGATTTCTCATTCATGGTGGGAGGAGTTGAAGATGAATTTGCTGCTGCCCAAGAGTTGCTGGGGTGCATGGGCTCCAATGTGGTGTACTGTGGAGCTGTCGGGACTGGGCAGGTAATATTCCACATCAGGGACCTTGACTCAGTGATGTCAGATGGGCTAATACTCCTCTTTCCTAACCACATTCTTACTCCTCTTTATTCATTTCAACCTATGGGTTCTTTGCTCAGATTTCTTAAATTAATTTGTAATGAATTAGTTTCCATTATTTCTGGGGAGCTTAAGCAATTTGTCAGCCAATTTGCTTATTTAAAAAGAATATCCAGAGACCAGCAGATGGTGTAATGGTTATGTCACTGGACTCCCACATAGTCAACCATGGTTTGAGTCCTGGACCTGGCAGCTTAAAACTTATGCCGGGCTTATGTGCTTGTGCATCCAAAATCCTGAGAAGAGAATGGAGAAGGGATTGTGGCATGGCCATCCCCCCAGAGGGGTGATTTCTTGCTTTCTGTCTCTCTGTCTCTCTGGTGAATACACGCACCCTATAGGAAAAAACAAAACCAACAACAACAACAACAAAAACCACCATCTAAAAACAGGAAAAGAATATCTAAAGTTTCATCATTAGGATCTTGACATATCATCCCAGTGACTACTGAAATTATCCTTAAAACTATTTCTATTTCAAAGTGCTCCCATTATCCGAGTTTCTGTTACTCTCCATCTGATTTTGTAATTTCTTACAGTAGCTCCATTTGTAGTATAATCAAGCAGAAGTAATCTCTGCACTTAAAAGCATGATCTGCAACACTGAACTCAGAAATCAAAGTAGTTTTCTCCCTCCCTTTCCTAACACATACTCACACTCACTCACTCACTCCTCTTAATACTTTTTTTTTTTTTTTTGAGAGGTTTTTGCTGTAGGGTGTGTGCACTTGCCAGGAAGACAGAGAGACAGAAAGCAAGAAATCACCCCCCAGGGGGGATGGCCATGCCACAATCCCTTCTCCTCCTTTCTCCTCTCAGGATCTTGGGCACGCACGCACACGCACCCAGCGTGAGTTTAAGCCACCGGGTCCGGGACACGAACCGCGGTCGACTACATGGGAGTCCAGCGACATAGCCATTACACTAACTGCTGGTCCCTTAATACTTTTATCCTACTCGCTTGGACTCTTGATATTGTATCGTCAGAAAGGTCATGTGCATTTTTATATAGGAAAAAACAGAAAAAATGTGTCATGACTTTTCCGACAACCCACTATCATCCAAGAATTTGGCATTATCTCAGATATATGTATTGTCTCCGTACTTTTATCCAGTCAGTCTCTAAGCGCTGTTCATTTATGCTTCAGTAACTCTCCTTCTTGACCATTCCACGCATTACCTAGTTTGCTGCCCACAGAGCCTAATGGCTGGTCGCCAAACTTACCACTCTGCCCAGTGCTATAACCAAAACCACCTTCATCAAGATACTTGTCTCAGGGCCAGCAGGTAGCATGGTGGTTAGGGCAGTAGGCTCCGACATGGCTGGCTGCAGTATGAGTCCCAGACCTGGGGACTTGCTTTCTTTTTCACCTTGCCCCTACTGGCGCTCTCTGGTGAGCACACGTACCCTATAGCAAGTTAAAAATGATAAATAAATAAATCTAAACAAATAATTCTTTTTTTTTTTGGAGAGATTTTCACTGTAGGGCGCGTGCACTCGCCAGACAGACAGAGAGAGACAGAGAGACAGAAAGCGAGAAATCACCCCCCAGGGGGGATGGTCACGCCGCAATCCCTTCTCCTCCATTCTCCTCTCAGGATCTTGGGCACGCACGCACACGCGCCCGGCGTGAGTTTTAAGCCACCGGGTCCGGGACACGAGCCGCGGTCGACTACGTGGGAGTCCAGCGACATAGCCATTACGCTCACTGCTGGTTCCCATAAACAAATAATTCTTTAGGAAAAAAGATACTTATCTCATCCTTGCACACCCCCATTCTGAACTTTGACTAGTTCCCTGTGTCCTACCATGTTGACATAGCTTTCACCCTGCTTTCAGAGCTCTTAAGTAGCCTTTGACCCCAGTCTCAACCATCCGCTTTCTCACTGGCCCTTAAAACGTATGCATAATGAGTTGATTGTCTCAGTAGTCCCAGGAACATCCCATGCTCTTACATACTTTCCCTCTTACGTATTTACTGTTTCCCTTTTTCTCCTTCATTTATGATCTTTTGTTTTCCCTCTCTTTTTTGCCTATTTAAATCCTGCCTTGGCCTTCTGAGAGATGGTTTTAGTTCTACCTCTTCTCTGCTCCTGCCCTCAGTGGTCTCTGAATGCCTACTGGAGCTAAGTTAAAGTCTCTGCCCTACAGTTTACCACGTAGCTGTTTTTTGTTGGTGTGTTGCCTTTTCTCATTGCATATTACTTCCATTTTCCAGTTAGACTATAGATCCCATCCCTTTGAGGGCAGTCATGCCACATGGGTCTGTATTCCCTTTGTGCTGCTCCTGGAGTACGAACTCTGTCACCACTGTTGCTTTACTGCCCAGTAGGAGAGACCCCCGCTCTGGGGTAGCACGACAGGTGCAAAGGGAGGCGTGCTGCACCGTTTCCTCCCTGCTCAAGAGAACCACGGGCAAATGCTGTTTGTTTTAGAAAGAAGCCTGTGGAATTGGGTGAAGAAAAACTTCCTAAGTTGCAACTTGAAAATAAAGATAGGTAATATGTACTCAATTTATTTTCAGGCTGCAAAGATCTGCAACAACATGCTGTTAGCTATTAGTATGATTGGAACTGCTGAAGCTATGAATCTTGGAATCAGGTTTGTTGAATACTGTACTACATTTTCATATACTGACAATTTTTATAGGCTTTCTTATTTGATTTTCTGATGTTAAAAAAATTATGTTCCATGAGAGATAAATGAGTTGATCCAGGAGCATTTGAAAGTGCTTCATTATTGAACTTTAATAGACTTTGCTTATTGGATGAGCGATAGGACCCTGGAGAGCATGAATACTCTTTGCCTTAGCCATAAAGTGTACTACGCTATGCATTTGAAGTTATAGTATCCTTTTTATGTGGGAGCCCCATTTCTTCTATTATGTTGAAATGCAAGAAACACACTTACTATAAAATTTAAACATACTTTGGCAGTGTCGGGACAAATTTGTATAAAACACAGTTTTAACATATAGTGAATTCCAGTGTTATATTGTCATGTGACTAGTTTTATGTACCTATTTTAAATGTAGTCCCCCAGATGGGTTCTTGGTGCTTCATTCTCAGGATAAACTGGAGAGCATTCATAAAACTGCAATTCGTATGCATAACTCTTTCTTTTTAACTTGCCAGTGGTTTAGTTACTTTGAATTAGGATACATTTTCCTATTAAAGTAAAATGGTATTCATTCTTTGCTTAAAGTGATTTAGAAATTCTATTTTTCCTACCAGTGATCATCCTTTAGAATGCGTAAGGTTAATGTCTTACTTTTGGCCTTTAATCTTTTTGGTTAGGAATACTACATATGATTAATCACCTAATTACTTTTTTGAATGTTTTCTATTCATGAAAATAATAAATGTACATTTCTTACTTTAGAAAATGCTTAGTAAGCAAGATTCTTCATTCAGATGTGTTCTTCTCATTTCCCAAAACTGTTTACCAAATATACAGAAAACAGCGTAGTGTTCCATATCACAGCTTTCGGTAAAAGCAACGAAAAGAGCCAAAGTGCTTGAGATATTTTTTAAAACACAGTAATGGATTCACATTTCCTCTTAATTACCATATCAAGATGCTGTTGTTTTATTGAATTGCCCTTGTCTCAGATGTTAAACTATCTTGACCTATTAAGTTGTCATGTTGTAATTGAGATAAAAGAGGAATTTGCTTTGCATCAGTGCTAATTGGTTTATCAATATCCTGTACCATTTACATTTTAAAATTGACCATCTATAAGATGTTAAGGCGTATCTATACGAAGCCTTAGTAAAACCGGTAGTATAAGGGAGCTCTCCAGAAAGTTACGTCTATGCTGTGGCCAGTTTTAGATTGTGGATCACATATCATAACTTGTTTTCATGTCCATTCTCAAGACTAATTTCATGGGAGAGGAAAATGTAAATTTCAGAATTGCAAATTACAAACAGAATTAATTGGTGTTGATAATAGGATTAGTACACATGTGCATCCTTAGAATTTTATTTTCATTTTTCTGGATATTAATGAATATCTCCTAAAAAGTAAAAGCCTAGAAAAACTTAGGTTATATTATATTAAACTTTTCTCCCATATCTTTCCCAGCTTATTCTATGTTTCTTAACCTTGAGCATCACTGAGTCAGTATACTCCATAGGCACAGTGATGCATCCTCTGGCATTCCTCGAATAATTTTCTCATCAAAACTCTTAGATGACCATTTGAAAGCTATGTTGAGAGTAAGTGCTTGTGGAAATTCTACTCTAAACACCAACTAATAAAGAATAGTAGACAAATCAGTTGAATAAAACATATATAATGAAATGAAAGCCATTGGCTACTATGATGGGTTTGTTTTCAAAGAGAAAATGTGAAGTAATAAAATTCAAGATAGAGACATTGATAGAGGCAATAGAGTTTTCCATAGTTTTGACCTTGATCCTTTATGACAAAATAATATTTAGAAATACAAAATTTTTCACTAAATACTTAATTTGTCTAAAACTCCACGTGTGTGTTTATAAATGTCATGATATTTTTTTTAAAAATCTGAGCACAAAGCAGAAACTCACTAGTTTTACTTAACTGCTAAAATAATTTGTGCTTCTAATGTTTCAAATTGTATAATGAATTGCTTATTTTCCTAATATTAGGATTTTATCGCCTTATCTTACAGAGATTCTCAGTGATTTGAAAGCCCTAAAAACGAGTGCTTCTGCTATTGTCTTTTCTCCATGGTTTACAGACATGGTTTAAAATGACAGGATTGTTCTCTAATAGAGTATAGAGAGCGGCCACGATTTATTGAGCTTTGCAAGGTGAAAGAGAAAATTGGCATCAGCAAGCATAAATTCCCAAGTAGTAAATTCCCACAAAGTAGCATGGCATCAGAGTGGCTCAGCCACATTTATATTCTGTTCACTCTGAAGTGAAATTTTTTCTAGAGTATTAATGTCAACATTTACAAATTGAGTCACCTAGTCCTATGAAGTGATCATTTCTGATTAATTTCATCCTCATAAGTCAGTGTTTTCTGGAACACCATTTCTCTTTTCTTAAAATAGAAGAGTAAAGCCTTGCAGTTTAAAATTATTATTGACCCTATGCTCTTTTACAGTGAGTCTTTATGGATGTTAGTGAAATTTTAAAATGTTGTAAAAAAGTAAAGAGTAAAAAATATATTGGCATACAATATATTTTGAGGTTCTTTTTTATTAGACCTTTCTGCTTTCTAATTGGGTTCCTAGTTAGGACTCAGAAGCATAGTTTTATGGCCCTCAAAATGCCCTACTTGCATTAGAGAGGTTTTCTTCCTATGTATCATATGGAAATAACATTGATAATGTGAATTTTGTTGTTTTATTTTTATTTTTGCTCCACTGGGATTCCCCCCCCCGCCCCGTATCAGTGGTAAACAGGTTACGTGCATTACCAGCCAGGTCCCAGATCCCTCCAGCAGCCACCATATTGTCTTTCACCAAAAGAAGCTTAAAATAGTTGGAAGGCCGTTCAAAATAAGAACGTTCATGTGAACGTGATTTTAGTTTCTTGGGCACTACCCTGAGAACATGTTGCTTTTTCCTTTATGTGAGGACTGAAGCCTCTTAACTGTGTAAGAAATATAATAAATGACCACATATTTATAATAAAAGACCAGATTTTGTAATAAGATGAGAAAATGCCATCACATTAGTCTAGCCCCATAGTCTAGTAGTTCAGGGAGCCATATCCCACATGATCAGCTGTGCAGTTCAGATCGTGGCCCTGGCAGCTTGAAGAACGCCCAAGGCTTGTTTATGTGTACATACCCTAAATCCTGACAGTTTGGAAAAATGGAGATGGGATTGCTGCATGAACATGTCCCATTCCAGGTGTACTTTCTCTCTCTCCCTCTCTCTCTGCCAAGTGCATGTGCCCTCTGGCAAATTTTTAAAACTGGGAACAAGTCACTATTGACTGATGGACTGTGAAAGTCACCATTTACATGGCCCAGTGAAGTCAAGGTGGTTAGACTTGGGATATCTACCTAGGTCTGCATCTCAGCTATGCTACAGACTTAAGCTTTTTGCGTTTATAAAATGACCAAAAAATGATGATATCTGTCCACTAAGTTGTTGTGAAGATTAAATGAGTTAATCCATATAAATCTTTCAAAAGATTTCCTGGAACATAGTAGGTACTCCACACATGGTAGTTGTTGATTGTGATTGTGGTAAGGTGGTTAGTCATTTTGTCTTTTTATTTATTTATTTAAGTTTCTTCATTTATTTCTTTCACAAGAGAGAAGAGACAGGCAAAGAGACAGGCACCCATAACAGGGTCCTCACGCCGCAGTCCATGCCCAGTCTCGGCCAGCTGGGATCACAAGTGCACACATTGCACCAGCATGCTGGGGGCGGGGGGGTCCTTTCCCATGCGGGTTCAGTTGTGTTACTGCTGTGCCACTGCCTGCTCCCAAGGTGGTTACTCTGGATCAAATTGTATTTTAATATTTTTTTCTTCATAATACTCCTCACTAACTGACATTACACAATTATTTGTTTATTGCCAGTCTCCCCACCTGGAATGTAAGCCTCACGAAGGGGGAACGGCTTTATCTACTCTTTGCTGTATGCTGAGAACATATCTGGCACTCAGTGAAGATTTGTCATCTGAGTGAGGCGGCAAAGGAGGGGGTGAGAGAGTGAGTGGATAGGATGTGGCACTTCTCTTGCCTCAGGAAAAGTTACCTGAGTGTGAGTGTTAACTCATGCCCTCCTGGTGGGCGAGCACAGCCTTCTCTTAGCCTCTGTGTTATTTTCTCCTCAGCTCCATGCAGAACACTTGCATGTAGCAGGTATCAGTAAGTACTGTGAGCGAGGGAGTGATTGATTAAAATTGACGTGATCTTTCCAGATCTGTTCCCATGCTACAAACATCCCAGCTTAATGATGTAATTTGTTTTATTCTTACATAAAACCAGATAGAATAGATACAGAGATGTAAGTGAACAAACTTTTTGGCCTTTAAAGTCTTGATTATAGTGAAAGCAAACATTTGGATTCTCTTTCATTATTTTACAATTTACAGATTTTTACTTCTCCCAAAAGTTCATTTAAAAATCTTAAGTTTTAGAAGTGAGTAGATTTGACACTGTGACGTTTATTTGAATTGCATTATATATGCGGTCAGAGTAATGAATTCATTCTCTGTTTATATCAGAGAACATTCCAGCAATTGTAAAGCCACATGCATGCACACGCACACTCTCGAACCACATCCAGTGGCAAGTTATTATGGGGACTGACAGACTGTCATCCTTTTGATGGCTTGAGCTGTATATCTCCTGAACAGCAATGGGGCTCTTATGCAGAAAGTATCATATGTTCCCAGCCAATTTACAGGGAAACAGCAATAACATTTTATCATGGTTGAGAGCCCAGTAGCTGCTTCCTATTAAACTTGCCCTTTCAGATACCTGTCTTGGATTAATTTGTTGATTTCAAATGGAAACTCAGTCTTCTCCAGTGAAGCATGACGTTCTAGGATAGACTCTCTGAATGACAATTACTGTGTATTCTAGCTGGTTTCAGACCATTACAAGCCTTGGGCACAGTGGAAGACAGAGGACTTCAGTAACTGATTTTAATATCATGCCTAATTTTAACTGTCAGTTATATATGTGCCAGGGAAAGAATCCTCAAAGAGATAAAATGCAAAACACTTACAACTTGCTTTTTTTAATGATATACTTTGCTGTGGAGGGTGGAGGCAGGCAGAGCAGAGGAGTAGCCATCTCCTCTGGGAAGGGAATTGGCACCGTGGGAAGGCATGAGATTTGAAAAGTGAGCTGGCAGCAACTGCCACCTGATTTTTGCGTGTGCACCTCAGGATGCTTCTAAATGGTAATCCGAACACCAACACAGATTTTCATCATCAGGGCTAGTATGCTTCCTTGGACATTCAAGAAAAATGTAGGGTTGCAAAGTTAAAATAATAAGCATCTGCTTATTCTTTTGGCAAGAATTATAGACAATGTGAATTCCCTTAACTTTAAAGACTCTTGTGAGCTGACTCTTGTGAGCTGAGTAAAACCTGGCAGATTATAAAAAGGGGAATAACTCCACTGCTTTAAATGTGATTAATCATTTTAAAAGAAAATCTAAATTAGGAAGCCCCTAAATTGCATTTCAAATGGAGGAGAAAAGCTGCGTTTCTGTCTTTTTTTTTTTTTTGGAGAGGTTTTTCACTATAGGGCGCGTGCGCTCGCCAGACAGACAGAGAGAGACATAGAGACAGAAAGCGAGAAATCACCCCCCGGGGGGATGGTCACGCTGCAGTCCCTTCTCCTCCCTTCTCCTCTCGGGATCTTAAGCATGCACGCACACGTGCCCGGTGTGAATTTTAAGCCACCGGGTCCGGAACGCGACCTGCGGTCGACTACTTGGAAGTCCAGTGACATAGCCATTACGCTAACTGCTGGTTCCCAACAATTTTTTTTTTTTTGAGAGGTTTTTGCTATAAGGGTGCATGTGCTCACCAGAAAGACAGAGAGATAGAAAGTGAGAAATCACCTCCCCCGGGGGGATGCCCATGCCACAATCCCTTCTCTTCCATTCTTCTCTCGGGATCTTGGGCATGCACGCATGTGCGCCTGGCGTGAGTTTAAGCCACTGGGTTCGGGACTTGAACTGCGGTTGGCTACATGGGAGTTCAGCGACATAGCCGTTACCCTACCTGCTGGTCCCCAGATTAACAAATTGTTAATTCATGATTTTACTTTTCACAGTTATTCTCTATGCACATTGGCCTTATCTTTTCCTAAGTCATGTGCCATAACAGCGTACTGATGGCCTAATTTTAGTTACAAGGGGAGAGAAAGCATTGATAGCAAACTACACTTGTAACAAACTGGAATCTCTAGAAGAATGAATGAAACTGTTGGGTTTGTCTCTGGCCATCTATAATTGGACAGAATGTATAAAATCCGATTGAAAAAAAAAATCCGATTGAGATTGAATCTTCTTTATCTGTTATAGTCCTTAGTAAAAGCCCATTATTTTAACACGGACCACCATACAAATTCAGATATGCGGTGTTCTACAGAGCATCCCATGAACCCTAGTTCCTGTTGAAAGCCTGATTACACCGTTTCGTTACTGGTCATTCCGTACATATCCTTGGCTGTTGGCCTTATTAGCCCCTGCTCTAACATCAGAACAAATACTCAGAGTTTGAAACAAGCGGACATGTATTACACACAGTAAACAAGAACTTAAGTGTGCTAAAATGTACAATTTGCTTAACATTTACAGGTCTTTTTTTATGTTCTAGAAGAGGTGGGTTTTAAGGAAAAAAAAAGGCAGAAAGCTTTTTTATGACAGTTATTTTATAATTACTCTTTGCATAAAAGGAACCAATAAATTGCTGAGTATAAAGTTTTGTTAGAAACTTGATTCAGTGATACTTAGCAAACTGCTTCCTAAGCCTGCCTTAAGATCCTTGGAATCAAAGTAATAGAGCATTCTGATTCTTTTTTTTCTTTCTCCCAGGGTCTACACTGAACAGCCGTTTATGCCATCAGCCCAGTGATAGAACAAATGATGTTTCCACTTGGGCAGGCTTTGTTTTATCAGGATCAGTAACCTTATCAGCAGTTGACCCAGAACTATAATGCATGTCTCTGAATAGATAGCATATGTCACAACTCTGTGCAGACTTGCTTCATAAGCAAGATTGTCTAATGAAGATTTAATAAATAAGGAAAAGTTTGCAGCAAGAAATGTCTTCTTTTGTAATGATAACTCCTCTGAAGCTCATTTTACTGCTTATGGCTCATCACTTACATTTATTCTCATAAAAGCTAAAGGAATAAACATGAATGCACCTATACAGACTCCCAAGATACATCATTTATCTGTCAATATTTCTTTCCAAAATATATCATTCGTGAAAAGGAATGTGGAATTTAGATTATCATGTTGGTTTAAGGTTCTTATGTGACACATAAATGCAGTCATGTCCAAAAGACTAGAAAACCCAGTAGTGTGATAAACAAATAACAGTTTTATGTCATTATGTATTATTTCTTCTTAATAGTAGGATAGTGCAGAAGGTTTTCTCTAAATACAAAATGTTCTGTTTCTGAAATGATCCTGTTAGCTTTTAATACCCTACAGTTCAAGCTTGGATTCTTCACTCTTACATCAATCTGCTACAGAGAAGATAGAGCGTCTTCATACGTAAATAAGTCACGCATGGCCTGTACATTTTGACATTTAACACTTCTTTTCTTTGACCTTTGACAGGTTAGGGCTTGACCCAAAACTGTTGGCTAAAATCCTAAATATGAGCTCAGGACGGTGCTGGTCAAGTGACACTTACACCCCTGTACCTGGGGTGATGGATGGAGTTCCTTCGGCTAATAATTATCAAGGTGGATTTGGAACAACACTCATGGCTAAGGTATGGTAAATTTACAGATTAACCCAGAGAGAGAGAAGCAGTCTAATCTTATCTTTTAACAATGCACATATCTATTCTAGAAGGCAAAACTGCAAGAATGATAATTCATACGCTCACTGGAAATGAGTTAAAAATTAGCTTAGCTAAAAGTCTTTATCTTGTTTATTTTAAAAAATTTATTTTTATTTATTTATTTTTTTGGAGAGGTTTTTATATAGGGCATGTGCGCTCGCCAGACAGAGAGAGACAGAGAGCCAGAGAGACAGAAAGCCACGCTGCAATCCCTTCTCCTCCATTCTCCTCTTGGGATCTTGGGCACGCACGCACACATGCCCGGTGTGAGTTTTAAGCCACCGGGTCCGGGATGCAAACCGTGGTCGACTACGTGGGAGTCCAGCGACATAGCCATTACGCTAACTGCTGGTTCCCGAAATTTATTATTTTTTTAAGAAAGATTTTTGGCTATAGGGTTTGTCCACTCATCAGAGAGACAGAAAGTAAGAAATCACCCCTGCGCCCCTCCAAGGGGAATGGCCATGCTGCAGTCCCTTCTCCTCCAGTCTCCTCCTGGGATTTTGGGCACACACGCTTATGCGCCTGGTGTGAATTTCAAGCTACGAGTCTAGGACTCAAACTGCAGTCAGTTATGTAGGAGTCTAGCACCATAACCATTACACTATCTGCTGACACCTATCTTGTTTATTTTTATTTATGACCTTTTGGATGAGAAGAATGGGTCAGGATTTTTCTTTTGTGTTTGTATTTATTTATGTTATGAGCTGGTAAATTTTTGTTATTCATCATAAACGTACGTTAATTTGCCAACTGCTTAGAATGGGAACAGTAAGAATTTTCTGATTGTTAATAATGCATTGACATGATATGTATATATATATCACACACAAAAAAAGGAAGGGTCTTTTCCATGGTACTAGAGTTCCGAATACTCTTCTCACTTCACGTGTTTATATTAAGCAGCCCCAAAGTGTAACTTCCTCACAGTGACTAAGGAAGCCAGATCCCACATGGGCAGCTATAGTTCCAGTCCTAGCCCCAGGCACCTTAAAAAACCCTGGATGTGTGTGCATACGTGCATCCATGCATGGGAAGGAAGAATGGAGAAAAAGGATTGTGACCATGCTTTCTCTCTCTGTCTCTGTCTCTCTCTGGTGGTGCACACATACCATCTAGCAATTAAAGAAGGGAAAAATTTCCTTTAAAAAAGAGGATATATGGATTTATGTGTCAAATCAAGTCATTTGAAAAGCAAATTGCTGGCCACTTCTCATTTGTGACCTTAACCTTGGAAAATCTGATCTCAACTATAGAAAAAATATTTTAGACCAACGGGCTTTTAGATTTCTGTGTGGAGCTTATTTCCCCCAAAATGCCTTTCTTTTTCCCCCTGATTATAAAAGTAATAATCCTTATATTTGGATACTGTGTGTGGGTTACTCTCCCTCCCTCCCCATGACATTTATCTGTTCTACTTCTTGGATATGCCTTAAGTTATCTAGTTCTTTCCTCCCCAACTACCAGCACCTTGACTGAGCCTCACTTAGATTATATAGTAGCCCTTAACTGGGCTATTGCTTTTCGGCAATAACTCTCCTTGCCTTTTGGACCTGACCATCTCCCGTTCATTTCTCATACCATAGTAAGAGTGAGTCTTCCTAAGTACAAAAACCCGATTGATTGCACTTTTAGAAAGTTTCTCTAATAGTTTCTAGTTACTTGCAGAGTAAGGCCCGTCTCTACAACTCGTCTTACAAGGCCTTTGACAGTTTGGCCTTTGCTTGCCTTACCAGACTCATTTTTACCTTCCCATTTCCCTTTCTTTGCTTCATTCATACTGAACTCACTTCTGCCTCTTGTTCTCCACCTCTGCTGTTTTGCCAGGATCAACCTTCCTTGACCACCACTTCGCTGCTACCCCCGTGCTTTTGCCCACCTACCACATACTTTATCTTAGGTCTGTGCTTAGCCATCTCTTCCTCTGGCAGGCCTTACCCAATGCCCTGACTGTACCTCCTGGCTCCCTGAGAGTACTTCTGTCACACTGTATAGCGCTTGTTCCCTTGTCTTTATCAGTAAACTAGGAGCTTGGGTGGACTATGGCTGTCAGGTTCATCACTGTATCCCAGCTTCTGAGAGGTACATTGTCATCACATTTTAAATATTTTATTGGGTAAAGTAACATTTGAAACTATTTTCTGTTTTGAAGTTGGATTTTGCCTTGTTTTGTCTAAAAATTATTCTTATTTACTGTCAGTCTTACAGACTTCTCTGTTATCTACCTGTATAGTAACCCATAATTCAAAACTAAATAGATCTTATAAAGCCTGGGAGAATAGAGAGACAAAATTTCTGTCAGGAGCAATTTTGAAGTTACGTCAGCCTCCCATATTCATGGGTTACAATCCATGATTCAACCAATGGTGGATAAAAAATATTTAAAAAAAAAAAAAAGAGAGAACAGCAGGTGGCATAGTGGTTAGGATGCTGTACTCCACATGACCAGCCACAATTTGGTCCTGGGCCTGGTGGTTTGAAACTCACACGGGCATATGTGTATGAGTGCCCAAAACCCCAGGAATAGAATGGAGGAAAAGGGATTGTGGTGTGGCCCTCCCCCTTGGGGATGATTTCTCACTTTCTCTCTCACTGTCTCTCTCTCTGGCAAGTGCACACACCTTATGGCAAACAGTGTGAAAATAAATAACAACACAAGAAACAACAATTTACATAGTGTTTATATTGCTATTTCAGGTACTGTAAGTAATCTAGAGATGATTGAAAGTATACAGGAGGATGCACATGGATTGTGTGCAAATGCTGCACCATTTCATGTAAGGGACTTGAAATCTTCAAATTTTGTGTCTGCAGAGTCCTGGAACCGATCCTTCACAGATGCTGAGGAACAACTGTATATGAAAGTACTTATTTTTTTAAAAATGTATAGGGGCCAACAGTGGCATGGTGTTTTAAGTGTAGGACTTCCTCATGGCTGACGATGGTTCAATTCTTGAACCTAGTGGCTTAAAAATCACACTGGGTGCATGTGTGTGCATGCCCAAAAAAATCCCAGGAGGAGACTGTGGGAGAAGGGATTTCAGCATGGCCATCCCCTCAGGGTGTGATTTCTCACTTTCCTCTTATTATCTCTGTCTGTCTTTCCGGCAAGTGCCCATACCCTATGGCAAAAAACTTTAAACAAAAAGTATAAATAACTTACCATGGTGTTTTTTTTCAGACTTTATTTTTTTCTTCTTTGAAACCACAGTTCAAAGTGAGCAGTTCTACAAGTCTCAATGCATCCCCTCCTGTTCTCGTTACATTTAGGATCTGGGATTGGCACAAGACTCTGCTACCAGCACAAAGAGCCCAATCCTTCTGGGCAGTCTAGCCCATCAGATCTACAGGATGATGTGTGCCAAGGGCTACTCAAAGAAAGACTTCTCATCCGTGTTCCAGTTTCTACGAGAGGAAGAGACCTTTTGAACCTGCCCTTTGGCCATGGACACTGTTGGGAACTCACTTCCATCTCCAAGCCTCCCTCTAGCTCACTCCACAAGTAAATGGGCTTAATCAGAGTCCTGTCTGCTTTCGATTGTCTAGTTGCAATAATCCCTAGGGTTTTTCACTCACTTCTAATTGCTTACTCTTTTTTGTTAGTAAACGTGTTATCTGGGATTTTTTTTCCCTGTAAGTTACTAATGGTCATTGCTAACTAGCTAAATTTATTTACTTTTTTTTTTTTTTAATTTTGATCTCGGCATCTTCAACTAAATTGTTGAATACTTAAATCAGGATATTATTTACACCACTTTACAAATAAAACCAAATATTTTGTCAATAGGATGAAACCCATCTTATTGGGAAGAGAAGAAATTAGTGTGAGGAGAGGAGTTGAAGAAGTACCCTCGGGAAGTTTGTCCAGTGAACTGAATGGTGGTATCCTTGCATGTCTGAGGTTACTGATCTTATTTTCTAGAAAGTTAATAAAAGCAAGAGAACCTGTTGCTGTATGTTTTCTATTTGGACTCAATTACAGGATCTTACTAGGCGTCTCTTTTGTTAAACTCCCAGTACTCAGCAGACTTGTTTTTTTATATATATTATTTTTGCTTCCTTGTACATTCTTACTACATATTTTTTGACTTTGAGAGAAAGACATCTTTAGACCTATTTCAGAGCCAATGATGATACTTGCTTTAGATAATTATTACATTATTCTAAATATAATGATATTATTTTGAATTTAAATAAATTTCTATGCTGATAATACTTTCTTTGGAGTGTTTGTTTCTTCCCAACCATTTGGTGGACAAACACGTGATCTGACAAACTGGAGTTACAGACTAATATGGGAAGGGTGAGGAGAAAGGAAAAAACAGCTGCTCAGAAGTGTTTTGAAGGGATGGGCAGGGGCATGGTGGTTAAAGCACTGGACTCCCACATGGCCAGCGTGGTACAGGCAATCTGAGTCTGGACCCAGCAACGAGCATCACACTGGGCACATGTACGTGCATGTCCACAATCCTGAGAGGAGAATGGAGAAGGGACTGTGACCTGGCCATCCCCTCCAAGGATCGATTTCTCACTTTTTCTCTGTCCATCTCTGGTGAGTGCAAGCACCCTATGCCAAAAATAAAACAACGATGCTCAGGAAATGAATGTAAATTAATTATTTTTTTTTAATTTCAGAAAATAAATAAATTAATTAAAAACTAAACAAAACAAAAGCATTTTGAGCTGGCCAGTGGTGGCCCACATCCTGCTGCTCTACCTCAATCCTTCCTGGCCTTTGGTTTGAGCAGTTCCTAAGAATTCAGCCTGCAGGAAGTATAATATGTCCCACTATGGGGCAATTGTCACTTTTCTTACCTCAGACTCTTGAAACATTCCAGGTTAAAAAAAAATAACCCAGACACCAAATTAGGCAAAAAGTACTATTACTATGATCATTTTCCTGGTGATAAAAAATTTCCTAGAACACAATGATGAACAAGATAGATAAAATTCCTGCTCTTGTAGAGCATAAAGTCTGGGGTCTGTGTGTGTGTGTGTGTGTGTGTGTGTGTGTGTGTGTGTGTGTAATTGAGAAGAATATGACAGATAAATAAATATTTGGGGCTGGCAGGTGGCATGAAGGTTAAAGGTGACAGACTCCCATGTGGCCTGACTGTGGTTCAAGTCCTGGATCTGGTGGCTTGCTTTCTCACTTTCCCTCTCTCTTTCTGTCTGTCTGTCTCTGATAAAACTGGAAAATAATAATAATAAATAAATAAAATTCTTAAAAAAGTAAATATTTAATGTATATGTCATGTAGTAATAAGGTTTAAAAATCAAAATAAAGCAGGATAAAAGGGATATAAAAGGACTTCTCAGAGTCTTTTATTAGAGTGGTAAGGGAAGTTCTCTGATACTGTGACATAGGAGCAGTGTTAAAAATAAGGGAGCAAGCCATATCTAAGGAAGGAACATTCCAGGTATATGGAATACAAAGTTCAAAGACCCTTAGGATAATGCTGGATATGAGGAATAGCAAGGCCGTAAGTGAAGTTGCACAGGTTGAGGGGAGGCAGACCATGTAGGGCCTTGTAGGCTATGTTAGGACATTGGCTTTATTCTGAGCAAAATGGGCAGTGCTTCAGTTAACTTCTGCTGGGTAACATTTTACCCCAAAATATACTGGCTTAAAACAACAAACATTTATTATTTTTCAAGATTCTTGAGGTTGGCTATATTATTATTCTGGATTGGTCCCCCCTTATCTGGAGCTGGAACATCTAGTTTGACCTCACAGATGGAATGGTTGGGCTTCCTCTCCACATGGTCTCTCATCCCCCAGGAGGCCAGCCCAAGGTTGTTCACATGGTGCAAGAAGGATTCCCAGTAGCAACAGGATAAATCTCGGGGAAGAAGCACATTTCAAGCCTTTTGCTTATTGTTTGTCAAATCACATAGCCAAACGTGGAATCAGTAGAGGAGGAGACCACATGTGAGTATGGGTACAAAGAGGGGCAGTAAGATGGCCTTTTTGCAAACCACCTCTCACAGCCAGCCTGTTGAGCTTCTGTTCAGAGGAATGTGTTCTGACTTAGCTTTTAAGGGATCACTCTGGATGCTGTGTGGAGAATATATCATAAGCAGGGGGACTAATTAGGAGGTGGTGATAATCCAGTTGAGAGATGGTGGTAGTCTGAATCAGAATATTGTAACAAAGGAGGAAGCAAGAAGGAGCTTCTGAGCACAGAAAATAGAGCCACTTGGATGGTGTGAAAAAGCCAGGGAGGAGTCAAGCATGACTCCAAGATTGGCCTGAGAAAGTAGAAGAAAGAAGTTGCTAATTATTGTCTGGGGAAGATTGTAGGAAGTGTAGGAGAAAAAAAAGCAGGAGTTTGAGATCCTTGGTTAATAGATAATCTGAGTAAAGGAAAAAAAAAGTCCAAGAACCGAGCCCTGAGTTACTCTTAATTTTTAATAACTGGAAAAATGAGGCAGAACAACTGAAAAGGAGTGACCTGAAAATGGGGGGGAGGGGAGCATTCTGGAAGCCAAATGAAAACAGGATTTTAAGGAGGAAATGATACTCTGTATCACAGTGCTCCACCATGCTGATGCCACATGGGAAGGTCCAGGGTTCACAGCCTGAGGACTCCTCCATATGCAGGGCATATGTGCCCATGATCCTGGCTAGCTGAGGCTAGGGGCAGATCAACAATGTAGGGGCCCTGTTGGGAGTGTCTCTTGCTTTCCCCTCTCCCTCTGTGTCTCCATTTTTCTCGTGGAAGAAAGTAAAACTTTTCTTATAAGCTGCTGCTAAGTTGAATAATACAAGAGCTGAGAATCATTTGAATTTGGCAAAATAGAGGTCACTGGTAACTTTTTAAGAGTTTTGACAGGATCGAGAGCTAAGAATGAGAGAATGAGACGAGAGGAGTTGGGAATGATGAGAGTGGGGAAAACTGAAGAGTTTTGCTCAAAGAAAATAGACCAATAGGTGGACACTGACAGTGAATATGGAATCAAGAAAAAGTTTTATGTTTTTAAGATGGGAAATATTATGAGATTATACTGGTAGAAGTGGAATCATCCAATAAAGAGGGGGAAGTAATTAGAGAAGACACACTTGTGAAGTGATATCTTTGAGCAGTTGAGAAAAGAGAGGCATAAGTAGGGGTGGACCTCTGCAAATTGAAAAACCAGCAAGAAATAAGCCATGTCAGTCTTCCAGCATCTTACTTATAGGATAGAATAGAGTTTAGTTAACTCCACAGGTTTTCATGGTAGAATAATAAATATTAGCACTAGAGAGACTTAGTATACTGAACTCTTAAGTGTGACCTTGTACAAGTCATTCTTTGACTATTAGTTTTTCTCATCTCTAAAGTTGTCATAAACAACATAGCCTAATACTAAATGCTTGCTTTGTAACTTGAAAGTAAAACAGAAAATGAGTGGAGAACAATCCCGAGTGATGGTGATCTTGGAGAAGTTGGAACCTTCATACATTGCTGCTGGGAATGTAAGGTGGTGAAACCACTTTGGAAAATAGTTTGGTAGTTCCTCAAAAGGTCAAACCATAAGAGTTGGCACATGATCTAACAAGTCTACTCTGAGATGTAGATCCCAGAAAAATGAAGGAAAAAAAAGTCCACATAAAAACTTATATACAAATGTTTACAGCATTATTCATAATTGGTGCTAAAAAGTAGAATCAACCCAAATATCTTTCAACTGATGACTGAATAAACCAACTGGTATACTCACAAAATGGAAGATTATTTGTCCATAAAAAGGAATGTAGAATTGATATAAGTTACAGCATGGGTGAACCTTGAAAACATGCCAAGTGAAAGAAGCCAAACACAAAAGGCCACACAGACCGTGTATGATTCTACTTATATAAAATGCCAGTAATTGGCAAATCCACTGAGATGAAGATTAGTGGTTGCCAGAGTTTGCAGGTTTGGTGGGTGAGGGTGATTGCTAATATATAGGGAGTTTTCTGTTTTGCTATAGGGTGTGTGTGCTCACCAGAGACAGAGAGAGGGAAAGTGAGGAAGCATCCCTCAGGGGGATGGCCATAGCTCAATCCCTTCTCTGTTCTCCTCTAGGGACTTTGTGCATGCCCACGTGCCTGGTGTGATTTTTCAAGCCACCAGGCCACTCAGACTGTGAAGTCAGCCATGTGGGATTCAGCTGCCTTAACCTCCATGCTATCTACTGGCACTACCATTTCTTTCTGGGGTGATGAAAATGTTCTGGAATTAGCGATGATTGCACAACTTTGTGAATATATGAAAAAGCTACTAGTTGCACACTTTTACATGGTAAATTAAATCTCTAAAAAAAAAAACTACAGAAAACAATATCATGAGTTAAAAGATCTTTCTTGATAACTTAAAAAAACTACAGAAAAAAATATCATGAGTTAAAAGATCTTTCTTGATAAGTCATTCTCAGCTGGGCAGTTTTGTCCCTTAGTGGACATGTCAATGGCTGGAGACACTTTGGTTGTCACATTCTATGTATTGGCTTTTACTGGGGACAAGCCAAGGATGCTGCTAGCCACCCTACAGTGCACAGGACAGCGCCCGCCAGAGTTACTGTCTGATGTCAGTAACGCAGAGCTCAAGAAAGCCCCTCCAGAGGATGTTTCACATGGACCTACACTCAGCGCATCAGGCCGTGAGAGCTCCACCTACCCCAGTAGACCTGCTTCTCCTGGTCTCTTCCCCACCCATGTTCCCAGGAGCCATCCCTGACATCTCTTCCATCCACCCTCTGTTTAATTCTAAATCTCTGGTGCCTTGTTGTGAGCCCTGACCAGTACTTATCTGGGGTATTTCACTCTTTGCAATTGCTTTTTTTCCTAACAGGTTTATTGAGGTATAAGTTACATGCAATAAAATGTGTTCCTTTTATACAGCTCAGTAGCTTTTAGTAAATTAGACTTGTGCAGTCATCACCACGATCCAATTTTAGGACATTTCCACCCCCGACCCAAATCCCTTGGGTCCATTTGTAATCATTCCCTGTTCTCCCACCTTGCCTTAACTACAGGCAAACACACACCTTTCTGTCCCTAAATTCAAAGCTGCTGCTTGGTTAGGTTCTTTTCCAGCTCATCCTTCACACTGCTGCAAGAGGAATCTAAGTCCAAAATTAAATTCAGTCATTACCCTGCTTTAAAAAAAGGGGGGAGGGGAATTTGTGGTTTGAATCCTGGTCTAGGATGCACCCTGAACTCACATGGCGTTGAAGGCCCTTCCTACTCT